GGAGGGAAGGCGGGCCGGGTGGAGGAGACAGCAGGGCAAGGGCAGGGAGGTGGCAGCCTCCGGGCAAGCTGGGGGGTGAGCTGGGCGGCGAGCTGGGGGGCTCGTAGGGAGAGGTGCATCCCGTCCTTCTCCAGCTCCCATCACGTTAGGTCCCTGCCTTGCCCACTGGCTGCCACCTGTGTATTGTCCTTATGCCGGCTGTGTCCCTCCTGTTCTGTGCTTGAATTTTCACACGTTATCTCACTGTCCCCTCACAACTGTGCCTGGCATGAGGGCAGACTGGGCAACGTCTGCCGGCTTGAGGGCAGTGATGGTGAGAGGAGCGAGGCTGGGCTTGGGGGCCAGGGACATGGAGGCGGAGGAGGCCTGAGCCAGGGGCCGGTCAGCTCTGCATTGCTAGATGGAAACATCTCATGAACACTGAGAGGCCTGGCGGAGGTGGCATCTGTGACCTGGATTCTGCATGTAGTGCTCCATGTCCCGGTGGGGAGGGGCTCAAGGACCCCAGAACCCACCTGCCATCTGCTTTAACTGGTTCAGCAGACCTCCTGAGGTAGGGACGGGGCCCTCTGCAACTGGGCAGACTGAGGTGCAGAGAGGTAAAGCAAGTTCTAACCAGAGAAGAGTGTGTTCAGGGATGCACCTTCACCGCCTTCTCTTGGTTTTCCTGTCCACCAAGACCGAGGCACCTCTGTGTGTGCTGGAGTCCCCTTAGATAAAAGGCTTAATGTTCATGTATTTCAACGGGGAAAAATCAAGATGCTCAAGATGAGATAAAGGATAACATTCAAGCCTCACACTAGATAGAACTTACACTCTTGACTAAGCACTTCCTGACACTTTGAGAGAAGCATTTCCTTCTCCCAGGAGGCTGGTGAGGTGGGCAATGCAGTCATGATCACATCCCTCTTTACAGATGGGGAAACTGAGGCTTGGAGAACTTGAACAACTTGCCCAGATCACCAAGCCCACAAATGACAATGCTGGGATATGAGCTTGAGGACTTCAGATTCTAGGTCTGTAGCTCTTACCAGGATATGGCACTGCCTCTCTCTGGAACCTACCATCAGGTCTTGCTCAGAGTGAAGCGCAGGCCCCAGCCTTGCCGAGGGAGGCCAGCGTTTGGGGATCTCAGCTCTCACCTCCATTCCCTCACTCTCGGGATGCCCTGCACCCCTCCTGATCTTCTTCTTTCTTCCCTCTGCAGCGACTCTCCCTTAACCTGCTAAGATCCTGTGGGAACTGCAGGCCTCCTGCCCCTTCTTCATTAACCACTGTGCTGGGCCCTACCCTGCCTGCATCTGAATCACCTGGATTTCTTGTTAAAATGCAGATCCTGGCTCAGCAGGCCTGGGGTGGGGCCTGGGATACTGCATTTCTAACAAGGTGAGGTCTAAGGCCCACACTGTGGGTAGCAAGGCTGTCGGCTTGCTCTAAACACTGCCTGGGCTGTGGTCCTCTCAGTCTCTCTCTCCTGCCTCACCATCTCTCCTGAGTCTCAAGTGGTTAGCTTTTGTCTCCAAGGCACAAAGAAAGGGGTTTTTCCTTCCTTTGCACAGTAGCGCAGGTGGCAGGTGGGGGACCCCTCCCGCAGAGTACTATGGTCTGCTCCCATTCCGAACCGCACCCTCCCCATCTCGCAGGGGTCCTGGGAGCAGCAGGTGCACTGCGAGGGGCTGGGAGCCTCTGCCCACTGCCGTGCCCTCCACCCCAGCCCTGCAGCCTCTTGGGTAGGCCTGGGAAGGGGGGCGGGGGGGGTTGTCTCTCTCCTCCTGCAGCCCTCATTGAAATTTTGCCCTTGCCCCAAAATCCTCGGTTGGGAACTCATCCCTATTAATTCTCATTGTGCATTTAGAGCCAATAGGTTTTTATTTATTCATTTATCTTGTCTTTCATCCCCCTCCCCTTCCTCGCCAGGCTGGAATTTACAATTCAGCTCTCGGGTGGCCTTGCCAAGGACAGGAAACCTGGGAGAGAGGGTCTGCACCCTGAGTCTGAAAAAGCTGTCTTCTCCTTGACCCCTCTTGTACCCTCAGGGTGCTCCAGTTGGCTGGATGAAGGGACAGGCCCAGCACCTGCCACCCAGGAGGGGCGTGGGGTGAAGGGACCCACTGGGCGTTTGCAAGGCTGAGGGCAGTGGGTGGTCTGGCCACGGTTAGGGCACCCCCTGGTGGCTGGTTAGCAACACCTGCCGTGGCTGCAGGAGTTTAAGCTCCCTGAGCAAGCATCATCTACCTGCTGCCCGGAGACTAGAAATACAAGGCGAGGGGTCCTCAAGGCTGGAATGAGGCAGAGAACTTCCAGGGAAGAAGAAAACCCAGTGACACACCAGTAACAACTACCGCACATTGAGTACTTACTATGTGCCAGCACGTTCCCTGGGCCTGTGTGGCCGGCCACACTCTCTGGCTGGTACCAGAACAGTCCTAAAGTATTATCTCTTCTTGACAGAGAAAGAAACTGAAGCTCAGAGAGGTCAGAAGCTCTGAGAGGGAAGGCCGTGCTGCCTGGTGGGTAAGCCGGGTCCCGGCAAAGGACAAGTTCCTGCCTGCCTTCTAAACTGAGTGACCTTGGCAGGACTTAGGCAGCCCTTGCTAATCCCTAAAATGGGATTAGAATAGGACCCATCTCAGAGCACCCTAGAGGGGATTAAATGAGACACATGCAGGACATGCCCAGGGGGAGCCACCACAGCAGCGTCGAGGTTTGAATCCAGATCTGTCTGGACGTGACCCCCTCCCCTGTAAAAGCCGGTCCCCCAAAAGGCTGCCCTCCGCTTGCTGAGGCAGCGTCCGCATGCTCATCAGCCGCACATTTGTAATCAAAGGCAGAGCCGGATGGCAGCCCATAATGAAATATTTAAGTCCATCAAACAGGTGGCGAGACACTGAGGGCTCACTCATGCAGGAGATCTCAGAGATGCCGTTCTCTCTCCCCTGCCCTCCTCCCCGTCCTCCTGGAAGAGGGCAAAGGCAAGGGGGAGGGGGCTCCTTCAAGACCCCAGGGCTCGAGGACAGCAGCCTGGGCTCAGGCTCAGCATCAGGACTGGAAGGGGAACCACCTCCCCAGGGCAGCTGCGCTGGGTCCTGTGTCTGAGGGTGGACACGGGGCAGAGGTCCAGCGCCAAGGGCATCCTGAGCCAGCTGTAGCCAGGAGAGGGCCTTAGATTTGCACCTGACGGTCGTCTCCACCCCTCAAGCCCTTGACCAGAAGCTGGTCCTATGAATTACAAACTATCTCCCCTCCCTGCCCCAGCATATTAAGGCAATAATTAATAGTTAAGAGAAATCACAAAACAGTCAAGACTCTAATACAAGAGGCAGAGGCTGACTCTTCCCAGCGAGTATGTGGAGAAGCCTCACACACACTGATGTGGGCTCAGAACTCGGCTCCCACCCTGGTCTGATCCCTGACATTCAGGGCCCAGCCCCCTTGCCTGTCCCTGAGCCAGCGAAGCCCCGTGCTGCCCAGTGCAGTGATGCCCGCAGACTCTCCAGTCCTGGCTCCTGGCTCTGTGCTGCCTATCCTTTCCTCCCTCCCTCCCCCTCTCCCCAGCTGGCCCCAGCCCAGCCACCGCCCACGGTGACAGCCTTATCACCACTGACAAGCCCGAGTGGGAAGCCACTTTCCCAGGCTGACTGCTCTGTGATGTGACTGAAGCTGCCCCATGGGATTGAGATGTCCTCAGAAGCCCAGGGTGGGGACACGCCAGCCCCCCAAAAATCCAGAGACCTAGAGGCTCCTCCAAGGACTTTCAAAGTCCCCAGCAGCCCCAGGATGACACTGAGCCCCTCCTGTGGGCTGCCCTGCCCAGCCTCAAGGTGGGGAGGTTCCCTCAGAGCACTGCCCAGTAGTAAAGCAGCTCTAGGAAGGCAGTTTAGCTCAGTGACTTTGGAGCCAGACAACTCTAAGCTTGAATCATAGCTTCACCACTTCCTGGCATGTGACCTTGGCCAAATGCCTTCACTCCTGATGCCTCAGTTTCCCCACTTGTATGCAGTGTGCCAGATCCTATTTTGAACACTTTATGTGTATTAATTAAGCCATTAACTTCACACAACGACCCTGAGTGAGCGCCCATTTCACAGATGACAGGACAGAAGCCCAGAGACATCACTGGTCCAGAGCCCATGCCCTAAAACTCCCACTTTATACAACACAGGATCAACCTGGCTGAGATGAGGGGAGGATTCCACGGAATGACGCAAATTCAGCTCAGCCCACACTCCAGGGGCTCGCCTCAAGTGATCTCTGCTATTATTACAGCAGTTGTTTTTGGTGTTAACATTGCTTTAGTACTGAAACACTCCTTGCCTCTAAGACCCCTTCTTCTCTGACTAGGTACACAAGTGACAATGCCTGAACATCTGTCCGCCTTCCCCCTGACTTAACCAGTGACTGTGGTCATTGCACAGAGGGACAGATTTGGAAAGGGAACCAGCTGCACTGTCCATCCTGGCCTGAATCTCACCTCCTCCTTCATGAATCCCCCCGAGCTTCCATCAAACCTTCCTCTGCAAAGTGCCTGCTTAGGACTCAGCACATCCTGGCCTCACAATAGTGTCTGCTGGATTGGGGTGAGTGGCTAGGAGGCTGCACACAGAAGGCATGAACAGAGGAGGCTGGAGTGTAACGTTGCAAACAGCATCTCACTCACTCGCCCGCCCGCCGGGAATGCTGACTTCCTATGAGGGAGGCGGAGCTTACCTTTGAGGCTGGGGAACTGTGAATTCTATGGTCTTCCTGAGAGGAAACAATCAGTGGTCAGCTGGCCAAGAATGCCCCCACCCCAGAGAACAATGTCAGATGACCCCAGAATCCTCAGGCTGGCCTTTGCTTTGGCACATTTCCAAGGTGGGACACCGACCTGGTCCCAATCCAAGATGCAGAAAGTCAGCCTTGCAGCATGGTCCTCCCACTCTGCATACCCACCCCAAGGGTCTGTCCCAGACCCCCTCCCACTTGGCCTGAGCAAAGAGAACCGCAGTGGGCTAACTTACATGGGAGCAGAATCTCTCAGGGGGGTCTCCGCACGTGATGCCTGGGGGCTCCACCTTCACCTTGACGTAGTCCTTCAGGCGCATCACCTTGGGCTGGCAGGCATAGAACTCCCAGGTGGGGCCCTCATCTGTGGTCACCCAGGATTTGCAGATGTCGTAGTCCCCAGAGGCCAGCGGGAGGCAGTGCAGGCAGAGCAGCAGCAGGTGCAGCATGGCTGCGCGGTCCACAGGGGCGCAGCCAGAGAGGCCCCGGAGAGGCAGCGGCGGAGTCAGGAGGGACTCGCGGCCTCAGCATGGAAATGCCACATCTACCAGGCGATGGTGGCCGGGGTGTCCCAGGGACTCGAGCGCTGCAGGTTTGCAAACAGCGAGGAACTTGTTTTTTCCAAAAGGCCAATACAGAAAATTCAGAGCCAGCGTTTCTCAGACTGCTGATGGGCAGATCTAAAAGTTGCCCATAACTTTGTGTCCTCCTAACCTTGGCATTACACTTCTCCCGGAGGTGGATCTGATCAAATCAGGCAGACTCTCAAATTGTGACCGTGGATGGAAATGGGATAAGGAGAAAATCCGCAGGGATCCGGCATGAGGCCGGATCAGATTGCTTTTAATTTTTGTCCTTCCAATCAATCCAGGTCTTTAAAGGGCCCTTAATGCGTGATGTGCTCAACACAACTGCAAAACAACACTCCGGCCTGTGTTGTAAAGATAAAATAAAATCAGGAGGTGTGCATGTTAGCTGGAAACGCTCCCTCTTTGGGACTGGACTCGGCGTCTCAGACCAATAAAAGAGATTTCTTTTCAGATGGGCTTAAAGTGACAACAGTCGTGCAACTGGACTGGAAAATAAAGAGCTACTGAGGTATGAACTGGGGAGAAGGTTATTTGGTTCTACTTTGGTGCGGACCGGCACTGATGGGGGCCAGCTGACCTTGGCTGGTCGCCATCAGCAACTTATTATGAAGTTTCTGAGACTTCAGCTCTCAGTCCATCCAGGTACCTGGGCTCTGGCTTGTCTTTCCTTGTAAGAGGGGAGGAAAAACAGCTCATTAGCAACAACACCTGCAACAAATTAAAAGGGGTGGGGGGAGTAGAGATGTCTAAGAACAAAAGCTCTCCGGCAAAATGTGCAAAAATGATGCTGCACTAGCAAGCTCTCCTGAGAAAACTGGGTTATTTTTATTAAAATCAGAGTTGCACATTTGGAGATGGGGCCCATTATTTAAAAGGCGATGCATTTTCTCATCATTTATGGGGCTGTTAGTTCAGCAGAAGTGCCCCTGCTTTGGGGTCAGAGACTTTCTAAAGCATCTCCAGCAGCCAAGATTTAACGGTTGCTTTAAAATACCGTGATTGACAAGTCAAAATGTCAAAGTTGTTAAAGGCAGAGAAGAGGCTGTAACTACAGGTGCAGGTAGACCGTACCTGCAGGTACAGATGAACAGAGTGGTCTACATGTAGGCCAGCAACTGAGAAGCGGGCACTGGTAACCACCTCCCCAATCACAGGCACAATCTGAGATAGTGAATTTAATTTTTTGAACCATAAGAAACCGGGGATATTGAAGACTGCCACAAAAGTGACAATGTTTTGTCCTATTAGATTTTCTGGCCAAGGCCAACATGTTACAATCATCCTCAGAGGGTATATTTATAAACCGATCACTATTATAATCATTGCTTTACTATTTTAAGCCTCTGGTACTTATTCAAAAGCCAAAATAGATATAATTAATATGAATGGGACAATGGGAAATACATGACTCCAGTAATGTGGTGGGTTCCCAGACACTTGATATATCACCAGGAGAATTTGAGTCTAGCCAGCATGGGATTCTGGCCAAAAATATTGGCCTATATGGCAAAGGTTACTGCAGTGACTTACAGCAGAAGCGCCCGTGTTATTAATTATTCTGGTTATTATGCCTATGATCATCCAAACCTCCCCAGCATTGGTATTAAATCTCAGCCTGACTCTCAACTGATACCCTCTCCAGCTATTATTGCACGTGGGAGGTCCCTGAAGAGTTAACTGTGTTTTGGTGGAACCCCATTCTCCACCCAGGTACAAACACGCTACTGCCGAATAGGACAAACCAGAGGGGTGGACACTGCCAGCCTGCGGCAGGCGGCTCAGCACCCTCCGTCTGCAGGCCCGGGGGACTCATCCATCTGCATTAAGGCGACCCCTACCCCTCTCTCTGGATGAAGGACACCCAATGGAGATGAATGATAACCCAGCCAGGACCGCATCTTCACGCCCCACCTCTGGCTGTTTCAAGAGAAACCCCTGATAGAGCCTGCCCGGCTTCCAATGCGCTCCTTGCTAGAAAACTCTCAGAAAGAACGTGGCCAGCGTCTATTTTTACAACCCAAGAAATGTAGTAAAAATAAAATAGCGCGGCCGGCAAAGGTTTGGATGCCCAGAAAACAGCACGTCCCTAATGAATTCATCCAGCAGCCGACTCCCAACTGTTCACTAACAGGTAGGGAGCTCCCGACTGTGCCGGGCACCAGCAGGGCGCCTGCCGGGCTGCGGCTCGCAAGGAGGGCCCGGCTGCGGGCGTCCTTCCTCTGCAGGACCGGAGGCTGCCCGGGGCCTGGACGGCGCCCGCTGGACTCGGGCCGGTGCAGGGGCCCGGGGGGCCGGGGCGAGGGCGCGGCGCAACGCGCACGTTCATTCATCGCTTTGCAGTTCTGTTGGCTTAAATGCCACGCGTTCCCTGGAAAACGAGGTGCGGGGGGTGGGGGAGCCAACAACAAAATCTGCTGGAGAACAAACGTGTTTACAAGCAGTCAATCAACTGGGCGTTGCTGGCACCGCAGGGTGGGTGGGGGCTCAGCACGCTCACACTACAGTTTCTGCCAAAAAAGAAAAAAGGGGAGGGGAGAGGGGCGCGACGGTCCCCCGAATAACGGGGCGGAGGGACAAGCCGGCGGGGGGAATTTCAGAGGAAGAGGTTGTATCCCGCTGGATCGTTTTCTCCGTGGAAAATAAATCTCCGCCTGATATTGTTAGGAAACTGCAGCTCCCAGGAACAAATAGAATCGATGCGTGTTATTTTCTTTTAAGAGTCCTCGGGAACCGAGGGGGCGGAGGGGGGCTGATAGCCAGGGTATTAAAATCCGAAAATTAGATTTTATCCGGATTTCTGAACTCCGATTCCTCTGTCTTATTGAATTAGCGCCTCTCGAGCTGGCTGGGCTCGCGGACAGGCTCCTCTCGGAGTTGCCGGCTGCGCCCTCGCCTCGTGGGACACTTGCCCCGGCGGTCGCGGGGCCCCTGGGGAGGCACCGGACGGGGGTGCTGGGGCCTGCTCGGAGGACCCCGTGCACCCCGAGGTTCCCTCTCCCTTCCCAGCGGGGATGCGGAGGGGGCTGAAACCTGACTTCGGGAGATGGGGTGGGGGGCGAGGAAGGAAAGGGGAGCCCGATCAGCCCAGGGTCACCTTCCCGTGCCCGCCCCGGGCGGGGTCTTGTAGGTGCCCCGCGCTCACGGCCCGCTCAGCGGGCGTCCGGGTTCCGGTGGCCCCGGTGCCCCCCGCTCCGGAACGAGCGCTTTCTCCAGACCCCGGCTCCCCCCACGCCCTCTCGA